CCAATATTGGAGTGTTGTGATCCTTTACTAACTAATGTCACTATAACCACAGTGGAGCTGAAGCTGCTGAGATAGTTGGAGCAGGTGACCCCGTGGAAAGCCGCAGTGGTGGCAGGGACACTGACCGGAGACATTACGTTATTCCTCCTTTAGGCACAACCTCACGCAGTGCTTTGCATAACAAAATCCTTGTGCTCCGGATGAACCATTTGATTTGTCACCCTTCGAAAGAACCACTGCTCTGGATGAGTCAAGAGCACTGACTTCACCGGGCTGTCACATGCCCTGGCAGAAGCTTGCTCGGGCAATGACGTGCGCAGACGCTTCTTGGAACGACTTTGCCAAAATGATGGTGCAACAAAGCAGCGCTCGCACGCACTTGCCCCATCCAAGTATCCTTCCTAAAATATCCAGGAAAGAACATGATCTCATACCTTGCACCGGAAAAACTTCCCTTCTAGTTTGCATTTCCCCAGGGTTGATGTTGCTGCTGCCTTGTGGGATGTGACCTTGTCTTCTGTTGCATGTCAGGTAAAAAAATCATGTGTGGAGCTAGTAGAATACTTGTTTTTTTCCTAACTCATTTTATTAGGTTAAAGTGGGAGAACCTCAAACAGACATTTGTACTGGGTTGGGCAAAAGAATGTAGTGCCCAGAGTTATTAGCTATCCAGATATCATATAACTTTTGTAGCTGTCATTTCGCAGAATAAAAAGGAATATAATGATATAAAGATTATGAAGGAAGATTGGTATGTATCAGGGATATTACTTTAACTGAAAAAAACATCAGAAAAATGTCCTAGTTTCTGTGTAGTTCCAAAGCTCAGTATATGGAACAAAACATCCAGGGGAATTAATTACTTTTTTGTTGAGTCTTTTTGTGAGCTTTTTAAATCCCAAGGAAATCTATGTGCAGGAGGGTATCAGTCATCTATACACAGAACTACACAAAGTATCACTACAGACCCCTCCAAACACATTGATTTTTTATCCAGCAGTAGCATATCAATATTTTAACCACTGACAACAAAATGTAGCCTTCATTATGAAGTATTTTGCTGTGGGTAACTAAGCCACTGTGTTTCAGGGAAAATAAATAGTTGCCTCCTTACATCTTCTGCCTATGCAGAGAGTGATCTCCTCCCACTGCTCTGACAGAAAAGCACTGGTAAATTCAATGTATTGCTCCCTCTTCCCACCAGCAGCTGTCTTGTCTGGCCCCATTTTGCATTAGCTGAGCTTTTTTTCTTTCTTCTAACCCCATTATGGGAAGTCTCCTGAGCTTTCCAGGCTGGGACTGTGCTCATTTCCAGCCTAGCATTTATTCGTGCCCGGGTTACACCCATTTGTCTCTGTGCCAACATCATAATTTGATTAAATAGCTCTTCTACCTGGCATTTATCTCGTAGCAACCACCCTCCAGGTCAGCTATCATTTAGCTAGACTAAACAAACAGAGGCTTTGGGGGGCACATTTCCAGGGGGTTGACAAGTGCCACCCATACTCTGGAAACCCCCCTGACTGGACCCCAGCGAGTCGGTGTGTTTGAGCACTGGGCTGCTCTGAGTCAGGCGCAGAAACAAGCTCCTGTCCCAGAAGATCTTACGGCCAGAATATATAATAGTATACCTTGATCTGCAAACTCACTGTTATTTGTTTAATCTGCCTCCTACCTGCTTGGTTTATTCTGAGCATCCTTTTTAATGTAGCGGTTGGGTGTAAAGTCTGTTCCTGCAAGTCTCTTGGCTTACAACTGCCTGATATTAGCACTAATGACTTAAAAGAAAGGTTAGACACAGTCTTCACTGAAGGCCCTAAGATATTCCACTGGTTTGGTCAGTTAATTTGTCCTCTTGAAAACGATAGCCTTAGACCTAAGCTTGTCTTTGTCTATACTTCCACTTAGTTAAACTAAATGTGCTTCATTTGGCTCAAAGTAATTTTACTCTTAACTTTTCTTTTAGAATATTTTAAATTACTTATCAACACCACAGCTAAAACAAATCCACTGCTTGCCAGTTTGGTACATCTCCAGTGCAGAAATTTGCCATCTCCCATACAGAGATTATCTGAGCTCTGCACAATTAGCAGCATTTTTTACAATCTCTACCTAGAGAGCATAAATTACTCCGTAATGATACAACTCCCCAGCAATGCTTATACCCCAAGTAGCACTGTAGAGTCTCAGCCGCTACTGATCCAACCCTGGGAATCTAAACCAAATTCACCGGAGTATCTCAGGAGAATCTCTTTCATGATCCTACTCAAAAGTGGGCTAGACCTAAAGATTCAGGCTTATCCAGCCTGGCCCTCCTTATTCCCGTGCAGTCCTTTTCATCATGAACAGAACATGTTACCTGCTGTAGCTTCTTTTTTTTTTTCTTTTTTTTCCTTTTTTTTTTTTTTGGCTAATAGATCTTCCTCTTCTGAACTCCTCTTTCTTCTCCACACCTGTGCCCCAGCCGTAATTGCTATTCTACAGTATTTTTCTTACCCTACGTCATGAGGTTTCAGAGCTTGTGGAAGAGATAGACGTTCTTCCATTTTACTGCCCAACCCCCAGTCATTTTACACAAGAAATCCCTCCTGCTCATCGCACCTTGTTCACGACCTGAATTAGGAGCACTCCTTTCATTATGCTGCAAGTAACAACACGGTGTTATTTTGCTTTCCTGAAAGCCATTAATCCATTAATCTGAGCTACTTATGGGCATTAGAAATGGAAAAGCAGCTCAGTTCTTTTCTGAATTTGCTGCAAACTTTGGCTTTTTAAACCTCTTACTCTCAGCCTGTGTCTGTCCTGGAAGCACCCTGGCAACCCAGGAGGTACGATACAGTGCAGCAGCCTGAGCGAAGAGGAGGAGGATTGCAGATCCACCATGCACTGCATATTGTGCCTGATATGCCACCCATGAATGAGACTGGCTGTGGCACTAGCAGCCTGTTCCCACAGGTATAATTGCAACTCCATCTGGGCTTGCACCTTCTCACACCCCTGAGCAGTGTTCCTCTGCTCCACGTGCCTGGGGTGGCGGGCTCACCAAAGCCTGTTACAGGATGCACTTCAAACTGTCCTGAAGAAGCAGAGGACAAGCATAAAAGCCCATGGTGGTAAGAAGTAAGACACATCTCAAGGACTTGGATAGGGTGAAGGGACAGTCATGATGGCCTGGTGCAGGCAGAGACCTTGGCTGGGAAGGGAGAGGGCAGGCAGGGACTTGGCAATGCAGTTCTCCTCCTTCCTACTGTTTCTGTGAGGTGGGATTCAGCCTTGGCTGCAGATGATGCCAAGCAGATGATGTTTCTCCTCCCTCCCAGAGACAGAGGGCAGGAGGAGAAATCTTCCCCAGGCACCTGGCTGAAGATGCCCAAGCCACCTCTCAAACATGACCTCCTGGCTGGCTTGCCGTACCCCTGGCAGTTTAGGGTGCAACACAGCCTAGAGCTGGACAGGACAAGCTAGAGAAAAAAATCCAGCTCTGATCTGGACTTGTGATGTGAAAATCAGTTGTTTGTTGCTGGGTCATTAACTCAGATCTTCCGACAACAGATTAATCACATGAGGTCTTTTTACATTTGTTTATCAGCTTTCTCAAGGGGATGGTGGGGGTTTGGTTTCTTTGTTTGAAGTCAATAGGCAGAGATCGTAAGACTGCAATGCAAAACCAGCAACAAGACTTTGCACCTATCTGTTTTTTACAAGTTTTTCCAGAGACTATTCTTACCATTGAAAATGACCCAAACGGTACAATGATTGAAGCTTACTTTTGCTGAGGATGGAGACCCATACAGCAACCCTATTTCATGAACAAACAGGATTAAGCTATTTCCCAACATGATGAGTCAGAAGCATTCGGTGCCCAGTAAATTCAGATTTCAAAGCTATGTCAAAATGCACAAAAGGAACCCTGGAAGAACAATCACTGCTGTGGCAAGTTCCTGAATGGGAAAGCACCTGTTTAGTCACATGCTTGTTCAACATCTCTGAATTAAGCAAGGCAGGGCCCAACATAGTTTTGTATAACTATGTCATGAGCTCACCTCTTCATGTCGAAGTAAAGTAGACTTATTACAACATAATCTGCAACTTTGTCCTCTGAAAGTCAGAGCAAAGGCCAGGCAAAGGTGAAATGAGATACAAATGCTGCCAAGATAAGTCAGATGATGACGATGATGTCCATACCTTTAGGATGCTGTCAGTTTTCTGTACCACCCTTACAGGACAAACATTACAACACTTGTGTTTCCCTTCCTTCTGCCAGCTGCTGCAGAAGAGTGGAAGCTGGTTTTATTCATGCCCGTGAACGGGTGTTTTGGAAATGGTGGTACTTTAACTACTTACAGCTGTGGAACAACGGTATTTCTCTTGCAAAACACCTGACCACAAGCCAGCAAACAAGGTGGACTTCCAAAGCCTTCACAGGGGGCAAATTCCAGCCTTTGTTAGAAGCTGCTTCTGAAACACCATGGGCAGAATCAGGCAGCACTTGCTCTCCACAACACAGGAAGAGGTTTTAAACAAAATCTTAAGTTCTGCCAAAGTTAATTCATCTGCCAGAAAAGATTGTGTCACGCAGTATATGAATAATTCCCTTTTGTAAACCAACTCTGACACTTGCCTTGGGATTTACCTTTTCATTGTAACCTGGGTTTATTTATTTTGGTGTAGAAGCCCAGGAGCATTTCTCAGTGAGAAATCAGTTATTACTTACTGTTACAACAGAGAAGCTAGCTGAAATGCCTGGCAAGATATGTAATTAAATAATTTGAACCTCAGACAGCTCAGCCAGGCATTTACCTACCACAGGAGCTGTGTTTTGCAGATTAGCATACTTTGCTCCCTTGGCCTTCCACTCCTCCTCCTTCACGACAGAAGGACAGCCCCTAAATCAGATGATTAAATACAAAAGATTGCACAGTGCAAAACACTCCTATTGCCCACAGATCTGGGACAAACACATCAAGACAGGACTCAAAGCCAACCAGAGAAGAACCAGAATGAACTTCCTTCCTTCCTTCTCTATGGAGACCTGGGCCCTTGTGCTTTGTTTCATAGCCCTCGTCATAGTGTGAGTAAAATATTCTCTACCTGTTCTTTGCTTGTGCCGTTTTCCTGCTCTTGCCATTGTTCATTTTCACGCAAGCAGTCTGCCGAAGAGCAAACTGGTAGGTGCAATTTCCAGATTTCCAGCCTCTAACAAAGCTCGGGGAAGAAGCAGGGGAGTCTAAAAACCGTATAGATGCGTGATCTTGCTCCAAGGTTTGGAATATTCCTGTACACTGCTATGATGTGGCTGATAAGCATGAAAGCAATAATCGAGTATCTGGTGCCAGGCATTTGTTACCGGCTGGGCGTTGGCTTCAGTGAGGAATGTGATCCTTGAGGTTGTTTTCCATGGAAATACAGTCTAAGGAAGGCTGTGCCTCCCTAACTGAGGTTGTGCTATGGAAAGGAGCAGTCAGATGACCCTACTGCATGACCTGCAAAGGTGGAGAGCAGTGGCAAGGCACCAGAAAAAGAGTATTCATAGGATTAGCTCTTACTCCTCCTGACTTTTTATGTAGTGTTCAGGTAAGATGCTTCATGCACAGGCACCAGGACCAGGAGAAATACTTTGCAGAAGTTAGGTTTGCCACATGCCCGCAAAGACAGCATCCCACACCAAGCCCCACAGCCCACCCTTGCTAAGGGAAGAAGCGAAGCCCAGAGCAAGGTCAGCTCCCAGCTCCTGGCTTTTCATATAAACCCTGGCAGGCAGAAATGAACCCACTGCTTTGGAGGAGCTGTGCTAGTAGGAAAATGTCTTTGCCTGCTTTGCTGTTCAGCGCTGCAGCATAGCAAGACTGGCTGAAAACCCCCTCTGCTGGGACACACAGCATCTCCGCTGGCAGCTCCTGCCAACAAGGCTGGACTGACAAACTTTGTATGGCTGACAAGCCCTTAGGCAGAGACAGTGGGTTGCTAGCCATAAACCTTAACAATTAATGTGGTACACATGAGCACAATCCATTTGTCTACCCTGGCAGCGCTCCAGCCGTGGCAGTTCAGTAAGATCTGAACTTTTAAGCCTGTTTTTCAAATCCTTCCTTGTGATTTGGGTCACTCAAAAGCCTATGTGGGCAGACTCGTCAAACAGCAACAGCAGAAAAAGAAACCGGACCGAAAAACCTACCCTTACTATTGACCTAACCCCTCACATTTCAATAACACTGTGACCATCTAAGATCGCTGATTACCAGACTCCCACCTTCTGCAGCCACCTGCAATTTTGTTGTGGCAAAAGAGACAAAACTCAGATCTTTGTGCTCCGATATCTGAGTTAAAATAAGAATTTTAATGCCTATTATCACAGGAAAGTTGTTCAGATGCTTCTTGCTTATCTGGGGCAACGCTGTTCTGGTTCACACACGAAGGAATATCAGGCATTTCTGGTTCACATCCATGCTAGGAAGTAATGATTATTCTCTGGTCCTTCCCAGCCTGCAGAAAACCTTGTCACATTTTAATTGTAGGAGCATTAGACTATGTTTTCCCAACCACGTTTCAAATGAGTTAAGCCTAGCCTATGTTCCTATAGTGTTTCTGAGCTCTGTAACTAGTCCAGCCTGGCACTTCCTGGTCTTCCTGCAGCCCCAGTTGCCCATAAACGTTATAAATGAGAATCCATAAATGTTTTTATACTTCGTACTGAATTAACCTTTGACAAAAACGGTTAAACATTAACAAACTGAGCTCCATGAAACCTTTCTGCACCTGCAGCTTTTTTACCTCCTCGGTTTGGACCAGAAGATGAGGTCTGCTTCCATGTACTGGCAGAACCTGTGCTGGGGGAACTGATCTCATTTGGGGTCCTCCAGATTTAGAAAAGTATCGCTAATTGCAAGGGAACCCCCCTCCTCTAAGTCTCAGCCTAGAATCTGGCTTTTCAGGAACACATCCCAGAGAGGCTGGCTGAGTGTGGCCCAAAGAGGATCTCTGAAAACATCCCTCTGCCAAACCTGTGCAGTTTTACGTGCCTTCTGCAATGAACCCCTCCTGTGGGAAGCTGCAGCTACTAACAAAAACCAAATATTTTGAGGAGCTTTTTCAACACAGCCCAAGACAAGCTTCAAAGGGCTGCAAGCCCAGGCCCTTGTTGAGAAACAGAAGGCCTCGAGGTAGAAGTAATAACTTTACAGCTGCCAGAACGGTTGCTTCAGAGGAAAGAAATCTGCAAAGCTGTCAATAAAATCTAAAAAGAAAACCATCAAGATGAGACTTCCTGATGCACCACTGAGCTAACACCAGGCTAAGGGGTAGGGAGAACAATAAATGAAATTAAAGTGCAGCTTGACAAAAGCTCTGTTTGGGACATCACTTCTGGCACTGCTTTGATTTCTGTTCAATAAAAACATGTAAGCTTGGCGTGCCTTTTCCCAGCTCCCTTTTTTTTGCTTCTCCTTTGGTTGGCATTAAGCTCCTCCTTTGACTTCTGCTACAGGCTTTAAGGTCCTGTTTCCACCAGAGTACCTATGCCTTCAGGAGACAGCTTTTCCACCAAAGCCATCTCTCTGAAGCTATGCGTGGCAGCAATGAGCCTTACCATGTTTATTAAGCAGTTTTTATGGGGCAATTTTCTTTTTGGGCCACTTTTTCCCAGCTGCTGGATCAACCTTCTCTCCTTAGAGCTGAAGGGAACCTTACTTCAGTCTCCAGATTTAGGAGAGCTCGCAGCCTCAATGCCACAGTGATGTAGCACTCGGTTGTCTTTTCTCTCCCACAGATACGGGGTCTGGCCATTTGGTTTGTTCAAGAAGTTGGGTATTCCCGGGCCAAGACCTCTGCCTTTCTTTGGAACATGCCTGGAATATCGCAAAGTAAGTGACTGAAGCCTTCCTGGCTCCAGAAATAGCCACCTTTGCTCATACAGCTGTAGCACAACAGATACGTGGTCGTAAGTTATCTCCAAGTGTCGAGCTCTGCTCTCACGCACAGGCTGTGAAACAGCCAGCGTGGGATTAGGGCTAACACAGACCACGGGGCATTGCCTTTACAGCATCTCCAAATGAGCACTCACGGGTGGCTGATTTACAGCAGCCTTTTGTCAGCGTCTGGGCAAACAGCTCATTCACAAGCACAATGTACATTTATGCTGTCCTTCGTAATGTTTTTGGAGAGGAGGAGAACTCGGAAGGCAGCTCTGAACATAATTTACAGATATTCCTCCCAACCCATTTCCAACATCATCCCTGCCGCTGCGTCCTCTCAGGCATGATTTTTAAATTGCTTTCCACAGGGTTTCTTGGATTTTGACAAGGAATGTTTCCAGAAATATGGGAAAGTCTGGGGGTGAGTATGAACCACGGATCTTAAGGTAAAACTAGAATCCATGCAAGTGGGAGAAAAATTAATTAGGATAGTTCCCTTTTCTCTACCTGAAGGCCTGACGGTCCCAGCACGATGAATACAGCAATGATGAGGTGCTCATGGTTGCTTAGTTTAAAGCCTGATGATTGCAGGGCTGTGCTGCTGTCATTCTATATGGAAATTACCTTGACCTATACTATGAAAGCTCTTTTAAAGCTGATAACAATAGGTTCTCACCAGCTCCTAGCAAAATCAACAGCAAAGCTACTATTTACTTAAGGGAGGATCTGGAACCGGGAGGTCAGGTTCCTCTGGTTCACCAACAGCAGAGGAATGTGAGCAACTCCCAAGACTGAGTGAAGAAGCAAATCCAAAATCTGTGACTTTTTCGTGCTGCTGATCCTCACCTGCTGCAGTGGGAGCTGGTGCAGCCATCGTTGCTCTGCTCTGGACATCTCCTACGGCTTTTATTGCTGCTGTTATAACTCGGGCTACAAACTTGCATATCCTCCATAATGGACCCATTAGTCCCTATAGCAACTTCAAAAAATGGAGTCTGTAAAAGACACCTTTGCATAAATGGGGAAAGTGCATAAATCCACTTAATCTACATCTGTTCCAGCAAAGCATTCAGAACTGGCAGCTTGAAAAGATAAAAACAAGGATTGAGTTACATCTCCAAGGATATTTCAGTGCTGTCAGCCCAGGTCTCCAGACACCCAATTCAAGAGCCTAGAAGGGGTCGAACAAGTTTCCTTCTAATACTGTAATGTGTTTAAGTGCCTGGAAAAACACAGAGAGTCAGGGGAGAAAGTGAAGACACTTGCTTCATTTAGTATCTGGTCCTTTGAGGGACTGAGCCTTGCTCATTTCCCAGCGAGTTTGGAAGGTGTTTAGCCCCCTTTATCATTTACAATAGCAGATGGGAGAAGGCCTGGGAGTCCTTTCTCACCCCCATTTCCTATGTTTCTCTAAGCAGGTATCTCTAGAGCAGCATGGCTGAGGAGCGTTTGTTTAACACAGTTTGTTTCAAAGGCATCAACCAAGCCTTGCAGGTCAGCTACCTGGGGTTGTTTATCTGTCTTATCTTTTCCTTCTCCACCAGGATTTACGATGGCAGGCAACCTGTGCTGGCTGTCACAGACCCCCAAATCATTAAATCTGTGCTGGTTAAAGAGTGTTACTCCATCTTTACCAACCGGAGGGTAAGAGGAAAAAAATGTTGTGATGTACCACAAGAATCTAGAAAATAAAGTACAGGAAAAGAGGAGCATGCAGCAGGGTTCCCATAGGGAACAGGTGGCCACACTATAGGGATTTCTGTAAATGGCCACTGTATGTCACTGTTCCCCTGCCTTACAGCCTGGGGACGGCATACCCAGGTTGGCAGAGGAAGATGTTTGCCTGCCTATGAGACAAGTTTTGCTCTCAGACCCATACATACACATATGGATGAATTTGAGTCTGTAGGAGCATGCAGGAACTCGTAAGGGTCCAGCTGGCACATGTGCCCCCAGCTGGGGCGCAGGCTCCTGGGGGCGAGGGTAGATGTGGGCATTGGGCTTGTCGAGTTACTTGTTCTGCGAATGGAAATAGTGTCTCACGGCTGGTTTGCTGCAGGAAAGAGAATTATTTATGTACGTGTGTCTTGAGAGGCTGTTTGTAAGGCCTTAGACTGCCTGCCAGTAGCGCTGCCCAGCCTTGCAAGGAAGCCACTATCTTTTCCTGGGGTTAAGACCTTGCTTTTTTCCCCCATCTAGCGCACTGAACTAGCAGGGGTGCTGAACAGCGCTGTCTCATTAGCTGAAGATGAACAGTGGAAAAGGATTCGTACAGTGCTCTCTCCAACCTTCACCAGTGGGAAACTAAAGGAGGTAAAACACAGAGGAGCAGGTACAAACTACATCAGAAAGTCAGAGGGCTGCTTTCAGGCTGAATTATCACAGGGGTCTGATTTCTTTAGGTAGAGCCTGGCAACTGTGCTGGCCTGTTTAATCTATTCCTAATTTAAAATGAAAAAGGCTTAAAACAAAGCCTTAGCAGAAAGATCTTATTTGTAAATGTTTACCAAACTCCTCGTAGTCTTCATGAGCCTGTCTTAAAAGTGTAAAATGTACTATACTTAAGTGACCATATCTGGTTTGTGTTACAGATGTTCCCTATAATGAAGCACTATGGGGAAGTTTTGGTGAAAAACGTTCAAAAGCAAGTGGAAAAGGATGACGCTATACCTGTAAAGGAGTAAGTAGTTGCTCAGAGCAGCAGGCTAAGCAGCAAACCTTGTTAGCAGGTGCTGTGGTTCATACGTTACTGGCAACACGGATCGCTCGCTGGGTAAACCAGATCTCTGAAATGAGGAATGGGGCTAGCTGGAAGCCTGGCTGGAAATTTGAAAGGGAAAATTTAAGCTGGGATGCTAGTGAAACTTCCTAGAGGCACAGACCCAGAAAGAAGTCTTCTAAATGGAATTAGATGGGGAGAAAAATGCTTCAGCACAGCTTTGGGAACTGCAGTTCCAACTTTACACTAAATCAGACGTGAAACTCCAGTTTTACCTCCCTGTGCTCAGGATCTCTGTGAACCACCTTCTTAATATCACAGGACACCAGGGCTGCTGGCCTCTCTGCGCTCCTCCTTCGGCCCCAGCACCCTGGGATGCTCATCCATCAACTGCCCCATTGCAGGGCGAGGGGGAAGGCTTGTCATCCTCACCTGTGCCCTCTGTACAGGCTCTGGAACAAAACCCCTGTGCTTCACCCTCGTTTACCAAGCATAGATGGGGAAGGGGCAGCTGCACACCAGCAAAACTCTCCCCTACAAAAAACCCCATAAGGAGAGGGTTTGGACAGTTTGTAACGTTACAGCGCTGTGCTGAACAAGACCGTTTTGATGACAAGTTCAAAACAAGGTGTGTTACCACCCCTTCCCAAGAAGCTAACATGCTCGAGAGCCACATGCTGTCCTTACACTAACTCATTCCTGCAGCTACATGCTGTTTTAAAATCCTCAGAAAAGCTGTCCAATTCCAAAACCCATGCAGGCTTGAAACCAAAGCTCTCTAAAAATCTATCCCTTTCACTGTAAGTGCTTTTCAGTTACCATATATCCAATTTTCTTTTCAAAACCAGGGCAGGAGGCCTTATGAGAATTTATATTTGATTGTCACATAAGCGTTAGAAAAAGATACATTCATTTGGTCCAAATATTTAACTACAACCTATCTTTTCTTTCTTTCCTCAGCATCTTTGGAAGCTACAGCATGGATGTTGTCACCAGTACTTCGTTTGGTGTGAACATCGACTCCATGAACAACCCCAAAGACCCCTTTGTCAGAGAGATGCAGAAGCTGGTCAAGTTTGACTTTGCTGACCCACTCTTCATCCTATCATGTAAGTGACTTTTTGCTGAAAACTTCACTCGGGTGTCAGAGTACTACTGAAGTGTGACTTAAACACATCAAACTGGTGTATTAACCGATCAATTATTGCTCGGATAACTTCTCTAGCTAGGATGAAAGTCCTAGCAGCCCTTGTCTCATAGTTTCCTCATTGTTAGCTTCATGATAAAACTTTGGGAAGGAGACAAGTAAAAACTTCCCCCACGTTTGGCATCCACTATATGAGAAACATGAACATCCCAGCCAATGACCAAATAAGTGCTGGAAAGTGATTTGAGGGTTGAAAAGCAACTTCAGCTGTGAGGCTTGAGGAGAGTGGTGATATCTGAAATGCATTTTCTGCAAGAGAGTGTGAGTGGGGACTGTAATGAAATGCAATTTCCTAGCAGTGCAATAGCTCAGGAGTGATGGTGATGGACCTTAAATCACTTTCAACCTTAAATCAAGATTAGATACCTTGCTAAAACACAAGGAAAGCTATCTAAGCACAGAAGAGGTCCTGGTGGTGTAGATTTATACACAAGCTCAAGATCCAGTCTCTGTAATGAAAGAAATGTTCTGAAGGGGACTTGAAAATGTTTATATGAGCACAGTATGGCAGTGAATAGCGCAGCCTAAAAAAGAATTCAGAATTCACAGTATTTCTCTTCAGAGCCTCGGTTCTGTTGTAGGTCTATACAATGTACAGAAGTAACCCATCCTTTAGAAAGCAGTGCTTTAGGGAAGAAAAAAAAAAGATGAGATATGCTTTGGTCACCTCTTAAAAGGAATGTTTATACCTAGCTCAGTTTTGCCCATTTGACAGAAACTTGCCAGAGGCTTGCAAAAAACAATATTTCAGGTAAAGAAATCAAGAAAAGAAATAATTCGTCAGTAACATCCATCATTATCTTATACTGGGTGGAGTTTGTTTACAGCATGTGATTTTATTTTCTATTTGTTTCAGTCGTATTTCCATTCCTTAATCCTCTTTTGGCCAAGATGAATGTAAGCTTCTTCCCCAGTTCTGCTGTAGATTTCTTCATGAGGTCCATCTCCAAAATTAAGGAAGACCGTGAAAAGGACGCTCACAAGGTAAGTGAACGTGAATTTGCTAGCAATTGTGGCAGAAAATACACTTAAGTGGAATATAATTAGGGTGATGATAGTAAAGGTGACATCAAAGTACAATGATTCAACAAAACCCTGATCTACTTAACTGTAAACACTTGATTTTATTACTGTCAGAAAGGGCTCAACTGGCAAGTCCTGGCAGAGAAGCAAGTGGACTTTGTACATCTGCAATCTGAAGCTAAATCCAGATAAGGAGTCAATAGAATTGGACTAAGTTTGGGTGTGCATAACTTGCAATACATCAGAGAAAGAGGCTGCCTGAAGAAGATTAGGCAGAGGATGAGAGAGGGCAGAATAAGCAGCATAAGAGCAGCAATATCACCTTTCAAGGTTGCACCTTCCCCTCTCACTTTTCAAAAACTAAAGCTTCTTCCTGGCAAAATTCTCCCTTTCACAGTATGAATCCCTTTCCTGTAATTCATCCCACCCAATGGATAGATAGATTTCCAAAATAAAAAGCAAGGTTGTTTCTGGTTTTGTTTTTTTTTTTTCCCCTGATAAGTAAGTCACACACATTCTGGGACACTTCCAATCTAAAAATTGCACTTAAGCTATCAAATCTGTTTAGCTGAGTCCTCCGAGGGACCCATCACCAAAGAAACTCTCCTGCTTTCCTTCTCAGGGCAGAGTGGATTTTCTACAGCTGATGATTGAATCCCAGAACTCAAACAGTCATGGGAGCAACGGAGCAAATCACTCATACAAAGGTAACAATATTCAAATACTCATTGTGTGAACAGGAGCTGTGGGAGCAAGAAGAACATGGGGAGCTGTTTCCCAGAGAAAGGCTCAGTGGATCTCCACTGACCAGCTCCAGGCAGAAGTTTCTGTCCCTTGCTGCCGACATCAGGGCTAAGGGGAGCTCCCCATGTCCTTTGCCATCATTTATACCTGGGAAATCATCTGGCTCCTCTATCAAATGACTCTTTCCAGACAAATAGAGTAGCTATGTGTTATCACGAAACAACCATAAACAAACCTGCCTCACCCTTTAGCCATTGCTACCTGTTCTTTTTTGCGAACATCAGCCAACACCAAGTTTGCTCATCTCCCACGTCCTCTCTCCTCACAGCCCTGACTGACGAAGAGATTCTGTCGCAAGCATTCATCTTTATATTTGCCGGGTATGAACCCACCAGCAGCACATTGTGTTACCTGGCGTACGAACTGGCCACGCATCCTGACGTGCAGCAAAAACTGCTGCAGGAAATCGACACAGTTTTACCCAACAAGGTAAGGGGATGTTGAGAGACTGTGAAAACCCTCTGACCCCGCTGTCCTCCTTATTCAGTTGAGACAATGAGAAATCTTTAGCTCCTAAACACATTCCCCCTGGGATCTTCCAGGATCTCTGAGATAGATATTGAGATATCTCAACCCTGTTTTCTTTTGGCACCTAAAACCTTCCAGGCCACCCCACTGCACAAGCCCATGTCATACTCTGCACCCATACACAAGTGGATGTGGATTTCTATCACTCAGAAATGGAAAAATGAAACAGATTGTGCAATTCCTACCTTACATTTTGCTTTTCAGTGAGTCTGAGCCATAGCTGGGGCAGTAGGGTTGGAGACACTCCAGTCCCAGCAGTCATTTTAGGACAATCTGATCCTCATGCCAACATAACCGGTCACCTTTCTCGTGTTGTCCTACAGGCTCCTCTCACGTATGAAGCATTAATGCAATTGGAATATCTTGACATGACACTGAATGAAACCCTTCGGTTTTTTCCTTTGGAGGACGGCTTGAGAGAACCTGCAAGAAAGATGTAGAAATAAATGGAGTGACCATTCCCAAAGGAGTTATTGTTATAATCCCACCCGATATCCTGCACCACAACCCTGAGTACTGGCCAAATCCAGAAGAATTCAGACCAGAAAGGTACAAAAATCATGATGAAAGGGAATAAATATCATACTGCTTTTTCCTTGAGTAGTAATTAAGTATTAATCTCTGATTAGCTTCCTAATGGTGTCCTTCCTATCTCTTCACAAACAATACCAATGAGAAATTGCAGGCTCATAGGAATGTCATTTTAAGAAGAGAACGAGCTTTGCACTTAAAGCAGGGTTTCAAACAACATAATCTTTTTGGGAGAATAACACTGATACCTCACAAGATCTTGTACGCGGCTTCAGGCTTGCTGATAGAGTGGGTAGTTGGTGAGTTTTTGTAACTGCTAGCCATCCTGCTGTATAATCTACATTGCTGAACCTGCTTCCCCTCACACAGGCTTTGCTACCAGATATTCCAGAGTTGCCTTCCCTCCTTTTTTTACCAAGGAAGTGATAACTTTTTCCTATTCGGTTATTTTTGTAATTGTTATCTACCTCTTATTCCCAGCAAGACTGAAGCCATGAGCTGCTCCTAACCAAGAGGACTCTTGGTTTTTCTCTCAGTGTATACAACAGATAGGAAGGAAGAATCACTTTGGGAGAGGACGTTGCCTGGATTTTCACCTTACTTCCAACTTCTGCTAGTCTGAGTGGACAGAATTAATATCAAACACTCGAGTGGGATCCCACCCTGTCCCGGGCAAGGGCTAAACAAACAAGTCTCTGTAGGGCACCAGCAAGAGATATCTGGATAAGTGATATAGATTTGGAGCTCTTTATTGCTGCCTTAATTTCTTTTTCCCAACGATGTTATCCAGGTTCAGTAAGGAAAACAAAGAGACCATAGACCCATACACGTACCTGCCCTTCGGAGCTGGCCCCAGGAACTGCATTGGGATGCGGTTCGCTCTCCTGAGTCTGAAAGTTGCCATGGCCATCCTATTGCAACATTTCACCTTCCAGACCTGCAAAGAAACTCAGGTGAGGAGCACATTGCATTTTGAAACTCACACGCAAAGCTGCCCCGTTTCTTACCGCCGGTGCTAACACCAGGTTCTTTGCACTTTCAGGCACTATCAGATCAAGTTATGGCCAAACTGGGGCCAAGATTCTTTCCTTTAATCTCTATTTATTTGTATATCTCCAAGTGTGTTTTTCCTCTTATTGTTGCAGATCCCTCTCAAGATGAGTTCCAAGGGATTCTTAAAACCAGAGAAACCGATTATTCTGAAGTTTGTCCCCCGGACCAAAACCATAGCGGCATAAAATCCAGCTGCATCTGCAGCAATTCTCCAGCAGTCACAAGTGCTGAGTTAACAAGAGGATCACATATCATGAGAAATCTCTCCTGCACATACAGACACAGAAAAGCAGCCCTAGTTAATTCTGGAAGCAATTACTACATATTTACTAATAAACATAGCTGTCAGAAATGTAATGTGGATCACTGAGCAGTGACAATACACAGTCCCCTTAATTCTGATTGCAGAAAACAAGAAATAAATTCAAATGAGAAGCTGATCATCTACTTCTTAAGGCGACTTCTCCATCTGGAGAGAAGGAATTACTGTCGCATGCAAGAGCAACAAGGTGTGATGGAAATTCAAATCACCAGACCTTGCTGGGCGGGGACAGGTGACATTCTTCTTGGTGTATAGATGCTTAAAATTTCATGTGTTATAATTGAGATGACTGGTGTGAGACTACATCCTAGTTACCAAAACTCTCTTGTGCTATGTGTTAATTAAACTAAAGTGTGTGCAAATACTGTCATTAAAAATGTTTGAGAGCTGCTCTGTGTTGTGTATAGCAGCTGATCACTTCCTATTTAAAAACCGTATTCAGCCTCAACCCTCGAAATTATCCGTGTACATTGCTTTCCACTTAATTTAATGAATCTGATCCTTCATTTAATGTGATCAAACCCTCCCATTTGTACAGTATTTTACAAACACTATGACTCCCACCTCTCAGTTTGATTAAAGAGGTTGCCTTCGGTTCAGCCCAAGCCAACCCTTCTCCATGCTGGAGAGATTGGGTTGCAGAGAGCAGCAAAAGAAGCTCGCAGGAGGTGGGGACAGCACCGCAGGAGGGCCAGTCTCTGCTGGAGAAATTACCTGGACGCAGCTTGTAACTGAGCCTGGCCTCTCAGAGCCGTTTACACATTGCTCAGGGTGGGATGTGAGCCTGCTGCAAGTTGCTTTGCTCTTGAACTGCTTCAGAGCAGGCTACAGCTCGGGCTCTCTGGGCTGGTTCCGCCATCAGCACAATGCTCTGGCCAAAGGGCTTGTGCCATCCCACGCTTTTCTCTTTAGTCTAACAGACAAAACTTCAACATGACCCAAATCCATAGTACAAATTTATTCAGGAGTTCAGGTCTATTCTTGAAAAACAATGGCAGCTATGGAGTTTCAGCGCGGTCAGTCAACAGAGCAATGGGTTCGTCGTCACTGGAAACCCCCAAATCAAAGCTGCCTGTTTTTCAGGAAGATACGACAACATTCACCAAGCTCTAACTCAAGAGTAAGCAGCTTGTGCTGTCTCAAAAGGCAGATAAAACAATTACAGTGCTCCCTTCTGATTCATCATCTGTGATAAACTGCCCGGACTTTGCTCTGTACACAGCAAGGCATAGTTAGGAATGCTGCTGATAATGCCCTTCCTCAAACTGCTGCCCCTCTCTTCCCAGGGGTTAAAAGCCACCAGTGGAAGACCTGGGCCTGTCTTACTGCTGTAATGCTGCAGCAGCTCTGGTGAGGACAGGGCAATGCCCCTGCATGGACAGAGTAGCTAAAAAAATGCATTTTCCCCATGGGAAAACAGGACTGGGCAAAACTAACTGCAGGTTCAAGGAAAGAGAGAGAAAGAAGAAACCATCATGAAAGCAGCAAGTCGCTTGCGTGCCAAACAGCCGCCTTGAAGTAAAGAAAAGTCATTTTGGCATCTCATGAACAAGGCCAAGGACCTTTGCGTGGTGTTCAGAACCAGAAAGGGTTAAATCCAGCTGTACCCCAAGACGGGCAGTCCCTGCCCAGTGCATGGCATCTCCGGGAATGAAGTCATTAGCGTAACCGTACAGATCATTCTTCCAAATGTGAAAAATGTGACTAATTCTCTGGCTTCAGCCAATTATGACCTGCCAGGACTATCATAACAGCCCATAAATAATGTGTAACAAAATCATGGTAATGAGTCTTCTAGAAGAAAATTAGATCCTCTGTGTCTTAACTCCATAAAATTACTTTGCTTATAAGCGCTGCCCCCATGATTCCCAGCACTTTCTGCTGCTTCACTGGCCAGCCCTCAGACATGGAGACTTGGCCAGGAGTCTGCTGCTCCTGGTAGCTGTGCATTCATCAGATTTGTTTTCACCCATTTGACTGCTTTCTGTTTAACCTAGACATTCACTGCTTAACTTGACTTTCAAATGTTTCCACTGATAAAACATATTTATTTTATCTAGATCTGTGTTTCAACACATCCTTGGCAGACCCAGGACATTATATTGCCCCAAGACAGCAGGATCTTTGTAAGAGGAAAGGGCTTCCAACACAACACATATTCATTTTGCGGACAATTCTGTTTCACTTCATCCTCTAAATCCTTCCAAGCCCTAAGTAAGAAGAAAAAAGAATGAAGAGAATCAGAGTTACAGCAACATTAGGGAAAAAAGAATATGCTTTTTGCAACGATTTCACAACTGCGTCTCATCAGAGAAGTTATTGTTGAGTCACCATGTAAGAGTAACAGACTCATATCCTGGTAAAACATCAGCATTGCTCAGGAAGACTTCTGCAAGTATGCAGAAATATATTCCCCTTATTACAGAAAGGTTCGCTGGGAACCTTCCAAAGGAGATAGATACCCCATGGTATGAGAACTGTTATTGTATCAGTCCAGATGAAAGACAAGAATGGTAATAAGTGGGCAGATTTGTTTTCTGTTTCTCAGTTAACTAGAGCAGAGTAACCATCAATGTTACTGTAACTTGCCTAAATGATGTAATACTTCCAGTTGATTGCAATGATCAGATGGATTTTATGAAAAACAGGTTTCCTGCCTACAGCTGAGGAATATTTCATGTGCTTCACCAAGTTGGTTATTAGGTGTTTCAATAACGGGCTGAGCCCTGACAGATAGAAGAATGGTCTGACTATTACCAAACTAAGTGTCCCTAAAGTATTGAAGTCTCTTGCAATTCTGCCTTGCCTTTAAAGTGAAAAATGAAACATTTTGAGGCATATTTCACCTGAAAGGAAGAATAGACAGCATTGCTCCTTTTATTTTACCCTCTACCATGGCACAGTTTCTCTGGCGTGAGAAACCTACAGGTCAGAGGGTGCACAAACAAAAAAGCCAGCATGCAGGATTTTAGTTCTCACGCTCCCTCCCTTCTTTCCATCTCCCTTTTAGTAGTAAAAAGCCAGCATGGAGAATTAGCAGGGTAACAGATAGGTTGCAAATGTGGAAAACCTGTAGCTGAATTTATGCACTGACATCACCTTTGTCTGCTGTAATGGAGAGAATTAGGCGTATTGAATCGCTCACCACACAGATATGGAATTTTGAAAACTCTTACTGTTGCACAAATGTCGACAGGATTTTATTTACTGCATCATTAAAGGTTAAAGAGACTCATTCTCCAGAGGATTCATTTTTTCAGCCCTTAATATCAATTAAAGCTAATTTCAGCTCTACCCTAATGATTAACATAAAATATGGAAAAAGCTCTAACTGAGCATTTCTGTTCATTACTTCAATTCTCTTGTATTGCTAGGGCACTTTATAGGTACTGATGCAGCTTTATATCACCCATGACACAGCTAATTTTCCCCTCAGAACTTCTTTTGTTACCAAACACTTGAAGACGTTCAAAGATGCACAAAATACCTTTGATGATACAGATCAAAGTTTTTGTTTAACCAGTTCATAGCTGATAATCAGTGATCATAGAGTCACAGAATGGTTTGGGTTGGAAGGGACCTTAAAGATCATCTACTTCCAATGTTTCAGAGCCCATGTTCTCTATGGGCTTTCCTACATGGTGGGTACAACATTTAGACAGAAGGTGTTTTTTTTTTTTGTTACATGGCCTACAGCTTCAATATCACACAAATATACATAATCTATATTTGTACAGCCAGAAGTTTGTAAATGGAGTGGGGAAGACCATATAACCATTAAAGGGAAAATGGAAAACCTTGCCTGCCACTTACGAACCGAAGCCGGTCCAGTACAGCTGGATGCATTTACCCGGCTTTGCTTGACAAAATACTAGTTCCATCAACACACCATAGACTGCCCAGAAAAATAGTTTATAGTCCATCCCCTGGAGTACATCAGGGCTTTGTGCAGCCCAGCTGAGGAGGCAGAGGGCCCACATCACAGCTCACCCATCCTGCAGCTGAACAGTTGGTTTTGCTGTGGAATCGTAGGTAAGAGGGCTGAAAAATACTTTTGGAAAACAGACCACACAGACCAACCACCATCATGGCAAGCAGAGTCTTGCACTAACTTGCCCTGAGCACATCTAACCTTTTCAGAACTTGTCTACTTGTATCCTAATTTTAGGGTATTTATTGTTAACAAACACTAATCTGGGATCGATCTGTGTCGAAAGGTCACAGCAAAAGCCAGAGGGAAGGTGAGGAGCAATACAGATGCTCCTAAGAAGGTCAGCTGCTGCCACTCAGGCTGCTCTCTGGTGGTAACCACACATCAATCAGCCCACCAGCAGCCTTAGCAACATCCACGGAAGCGAGTAGATGCCTGATGCTCCCAGTAATTATAACAGACTCCAGTAGAAAACAGCAGGGTGTAGAAGTAGGGGACATGCATCTGCAGATCCCCTAGCCAAGAAATGGAGCATTTCCAATCCTGGCTGATGTTCTTATGTCCTATCACATATAGCTCTGGCCCCAGACTCCATACTGAGCTACGTGCATCCTCTCAGATAGGTCACTGAGCCCACCACTTTTGTTTTTTCCTCATCTTTTCAAGTCTACAGGTGTTCTTCTCCTTCCTCCTCCTGAATTTTCATTTTTAGCTTTCAATGACTGGAATTCATTTGGCTGGGAGCACACGAAACAGCTCTCTTAAGTGGAAGAGCTACCTAATAAAGTTTTAATGGAAGATATTATTTCTGTTCTTTACATTACATTAAAAGCTAGTCAGGAAATTAAAGCCCAGGAGGGTTAGGCGTGTTGGAAACACTTGGAAAGATAGTCTTCTCTTCAGGGAGTTCGCAGTCTAAATGTTGCCCTAAG